GCTTTGCTTTGGCGGAGTCCCTCCCTCCAAAGCTTTTTAAAACTGTTTTTGTAGAAGGTCACTTTCATGATGAATCTAAGATCTCAGAAAGAACGAATAAAGAGTTTTAATGCAATCGAATCTGTGATACATTTCCGGAGTTTTCCGTGTCTTTGTGATTTCTCGGTTAGTGCACTGTCTGGACAGATTTCCCATGCAGAAAAAGAAAATTCCACACGTGAACAAACATAAATAAGGATTTTCCCTTTATCTGTCAGCGTAATATGTTGTATACAAGTTGTTTCCGGCAACTTTCCTACCTTATATTCGCGTTTCGTCCGGTTTTGATATTCTGCAGAGACTTGCGTTTGTTCGTCCCACGTACCGCTTCGAGGAAGTACAATATTCAGACCTTAGAACAATAGCGGTGCATATCCAGAAACGTGTTCGCCCCGGTAGTTTAGTGATTAGGAACTCGCTCCTCCTACATCCTGAAATTGGCTGCTGCCTGAGTCCATGAACGAACGTTAGCGCCTATGAAACTAATATCTTTCGAATCCCATGTCATATAAATAATTCTTTGATTCCTTGCATCTTAAAAGTGTAACCTAATGCAAAACTGCGTGGGAAGGGATGTTTAGTTAATTCACACCGTGTTGCTATGGCCATTGGCGTCCATGGTAATTCGAAATGAAGGAACACTGCGTTGTGCTGTAAGCATTTATGTAATATCCCAAGGTCGCTCAAGAGATATTTAGTTTTCGGTCTGAGCTGAATGTTATTATCGGTCTGTCCGAAGGAGAGGTCAAATAACACTCGAGGCATATTTTTGGCCAGCTGATGTACTATCAGCTGTGCTTAATTAAGAACTACGCTGTGAAGAGGTATGGGGAATGGAGTTGTACCTCCAGGAATTCTTAACTTTGGCAGTAGATTGAAGTTGAAGAAGATTAAAATTTTAGAATCTGCGTGGCTTAAGAACGACCTCTTCAGGAGGATGTTTGTACATAAGAGAGAGAAATTAATAGAAGGCTTCACGAACTTTCTTATCTTTTACTCGTCACCATTTATTATTAAGACGGATGAGATGGGCGGGGTATGTAGCACATAATATTGAGATGACAAGTATAAATAGATTACAGAAAATGTCTGAAAACATGAAGTGAAAATGCAACTTTAGAGACCTCGTCGTAGATGCGTGTATAATATTAAAAATTTCTTTAAAGAAGTTGGGCATGAAGGTGTGATTTGGATTCATCTAGCTGAGGACGAAGACAAGGGCAGATTCTTGTGGACAAGGTAATAATGAATGAGCCCTCGGGTTTTACAAAATGCTGGTCATTTCTTGGTTGACAGAAATACCGTCAGGTCTTCAAGACAGGCTTTGCTGTATGCAGTTGGTAAAATGGACAAGCTACTTATGACAAAAACTACTGTATGCTGAATCCTGGGTGGTACGTTGCGAGTTGTGTGTCTTCAGCGTACAATAATCGTGGGAAGACAATAATAGTTTTCATTAACACTTACCGGTTTATCATGTTTTTTTGTTTCGAATTGTTATAATATTTAAACATCTTGAAGTGTTGTGTTCCTTAGACTTGTTTATTATGGGAAGATGGACTAATTTATACTCCCAGGCTAAGTATTGTCCCTCGTTACACCGCTCCGTCGGCCTGTATTGACACTTGTTCATTGGTTTAATCATTTGGAATTAAGTAGATTAATAACGCGATTGGTGTCATAAAGAATTATCTGTTGATGAGACCAGAACTCTTATCATTGGATGATCACTGATCACGTAGGCGAAGTTTAACGGTGGAATGGCAAGAAATGTGAAAATTTGCACAAATGCAATTCCATCCGCAACAGCTAGCAAACACTGCGACGAGACATCTCGGCTGTAGCGTTCGATGACCGTACTGTTTTTTGCTCAGGAGAAAAGCATTATTAAAATAACGGCATGTGATAAAAATCGATATGCATCGATATCGGTGTATCAGTGAGCATTGTCTTCTGTGTTGCTGGTCATTCTCTGCAGTTCCCTAAGATCTGTTTTGACTTTTATGGAACCCTAAGCTTCATTGATGTGTTCGAAGGTACGCGCTGTTGGACCCTGTTCTGAGCAGATGCGTCTAATGTATGTCCTTACCAACGTCCGTTTAAGATTCGTTTTTGTATTATCCTCCCGGCTGCACTTAAATCTTCCAATTTGTCTCACTTCATGTACTCTTTGACGTAAATACGTCTATATGGAAGGGTCATTCCGCAAAAAGTGTTACGAAAAAGGGAAACGAAAAAGTGTAAGATCCGTATCAACAAATCGACAACAATGTGTAAATATGGACCGACAACAATGATAAGATTGCGTGCATTGTTATGTTACCTAGGAAACGTCATCTGTTTACTCGGAATTGTTGAGTTACATTACTGCCGTCAACAATCCTCTTTCGTAACAAGATGGATGACATTGAAGGTAACATTACATTACAGAGACGTAAATATAATTTGAATACAGAGACGTATTTACGTCAAATTCTCCGGAACCGTGGTTCCACTGTAACTTTTTTTAATTTATTACACGCGTGCTGTGTGTCCCGCCCATCTCTCCCTTGAAGGTGAGATAAACCTCGATTTTGCCCCCCTAATATCTGGTGATTACAAATCATGAAGCTGTCATTATGCAGTTTTTTTTCCCATCCTCCAATCATTGTCTTCAGCACTTTTAGTCGGATATCTGCTTGTGACAACTTTGTGTCCTGACAATCAGCACATTAAAAAGCCAGTAGCTCAGAATACTGTAAAGTTGGCTGCGTAGAACACGGAGGACCGCGTTACGCTCGTTACATAAATCCGCAGACGATTAAATGAAACTTTCTTTGCTTTCTACGCAGTGAACTTTAAGCTTTGATAGTTCATATCCAGCAACAATGTTTACAAATCACAAAATTCAAACACATTCTACCAGCAAAGTGGAGCATCCTCATATTTCTGTAACGTGTTGCAAACATTGAACACGCAGATTCTGAATTTATAGGAGATTGGGAGTGACATCATGGCCTTCAGTTCACTCGACCCGTTAGATTCTTTTTTGTTTTGTATTATCACGCCCTAAACAATTATTTGACTTTGAAGTACCGAAATTATTTTGTGGAAACTAGTATTTATATTATTTTTCAACGTATCTTTCACGTCTGCTAAAATCCATATTTGACGATCTTTTAAAAGGCACTACGTTGAACTGTATGCAGTTGAAACGTTAGTTGCCATCAATAAATGGTGACTGGTATGCTTCGGCCTCCCGGAAACTTTCTAGTGCTGTTCATAGTTAATCTATACATATCTTATTCAACGCTACTGGCCCTTCGCAGTTGATGCAGTGTCGTTAAATAATTTGACACAAACAGCAAGCAAGCCGAACTTCATATAAGACCTTTATATAGAGTTCATAAGGTTTCTCTTCGTGGGGTTTCCATGCGTGTCACAGGGTCAGTCTGATCAGGTTCGTAGTTGACCGAGTATTTTGTCAGTTTCGTAACGATAATTTTCTTACCATGAATGTGTGTGGCGTGTACTCACGTTTGTTTTTATTTGCCTATAATGACCTAGGGATGTTTTTTGTTCGTTTTGAAACCTCCTTGATCTGTAGCTGGTTCGGGAGTGAAACTTGAGAATGCATTCGAACCTCACGTTTCTTGTAGTTAACTATTTCGCAGGGAACTCTTTTGCTACGTTCCTGTGCTAGGGATGCGACATCTATTATGTGAATTGATTTCTTTGGCATTAAAAAGTGCGGCCGCTTTTATCTGCGTGGTTTTTTTTGTAGTTGCCATGGAAACATGGGCAGTTAAGTTGCTATTGGCAACGCTACTGCACCACAACACTCACTCGTAGTATGCACATGATCCTTGCTTTCGTGGTAGATGGTTCTATGAGCGTTTTCAACGTTCGTGTTTCTTTTAAGTCCTCGCGGCGGTGAAGATGTCAGTGGAGGTCTTATTTTTTTTGTAGTTTTGAAGGTTTGTACTCGTTTCGGAAGAACATACTGCATCTATCTTCAGGACCGAAGATGGAGGCAGTTTGATGCCCGGAACTCTGATATTTACGCGGGATTACAACCCTCGAGATCTCCATCGACTTAAAAAAATATTTTAGTTACCAGAAGGCAGCGATCTAGACTTTTGGTTATTTCAGCCTCTTTGTTTATCTATTTCCTCCTTGCTTATTCATGTGTTTTATTTTTCTTGCCTCTCATTTTTCGTTTCGATTCAAAACTGTTTTGTCTGAGCGACTCGTAACATGTTATAACCGTGACGTACAGAATTAAAAGTGGGGGACACTGACCGTATATGGTGTAACAGCCCCTGTCTATCAGTGTTTAGGGCTTCTTTGCTCTGAGCCCGTAAAAATGTAATGGGGGAAGAAATGTCCATCACCACGTTTTATCTTCCGAATCACATAGCGCAGTCGTTATCAGACATTTTTACTGCCGCAGAACGCTGTTTATAATAAAAATATTTCCACGAAACACTAGAAACAAACATTTATGCGCAATTTTTTTTTTAAAATTTACAATTAAATTTACTATTTTTTTCAATTCTAAAGGGTTTTGACGACGGTAGTTTACATCTAAAATTATTCTTTATCAGGATTTTTTCCATCGTCTGTTCTTTAAAATCACGACGTTTCGGAGGCTGGTTCTGTCTCCGTCTTCAGGTGAGAGGTACCTATTCTGTTGACGAAGAATAATTTTAGGTGTTACTATTTTTTGTTGATAATCCGTGTTTTGTGAGTGGGAAGATGAACGGGTTTTATAACCCCTTAAAACCTTTAAGTTTTCGTGAATGTTCCTTTATGTCTGAAAGCGCATTATCGCGTATCTGACTGTTAAGTTTATCAAAAGAATCATTCAGTGTCTGGAGCATGTGAAGTTCTTTCAACGCTTGTCCTCCATACTTTAGTAGAGCAGTGAATTGTTGCTTATAAGTTTGTGTATTGTCATAGATACGTTGTAGTATGAGTTAGTCCGCCATTAGATCTCAAGAACATAGTTTGCGAACAGTGGTTTATTACGTGAATAGTTTGATTATGTAATACTGTGCGTGCACGGACAGTTTATGAATCAGCAGGAGTTCACAAATATTAGAAGAACCTTAGCTAAACGCTTTTGCTGGCCGTGGTAATGAGGCATTGATCGTTACAATAAGAAGAGTAGTTCTTTCCGCACCAACTGATTCAGCTAACGGCTCTGACATATGGTCTAAATTTAAGAGTAGATCTTCATAGACCTGTCTGAAGAAGGACGCATTTTAGATGGAATTCAGGTAATTTAAAAATGTATTTTGAGGTCATGCTAATTTTCACATATTAGCTACAAGGATAGTTTTAGAGCACATGGCAGTGATCATCATTAACGTAAATTTGACCCTGTGTGTAGGCATCACGTTGTTAGTGCGAATGTGGGAAGAGGAGGTAAAACTCCACGCGAGTCACCCATTGGACGGACGGATGGGTGAGCCGTGAAAGATTATGGATGCGGTGGCGAAGTCAACAAAATCTCTTTACTGTTAGGAATCGAATTCTGGCCTTCCAGCCCATAGTCGCTTATTGTATACTACTGAGTTATCTCTGTTAATCTGCGAAGAATTTAAAGAGATTTGGGAATGAACATTTTATTATTTCAGAAAGCAAACTTTATAAACACTAAAGATGAAAATGCTTCGTCTAGAAATAATTATTAAAAATATCCTCATTCTTAATAGAATCCAATCGTTCGTTATCGTGTTCACAAGTGGTCTTAAGATAAAGTTTAATATTTTCTCCCATTCATGTTTAGGTCTCTCAAGTGGTCTTTTTCCTTCATATTTTCAGTCGCATGTCACCACGGCATGACGGTTTCTTGGGTTACTGTTGGAGGGTACCTCAGTTGAATCAGTTGACTGGACAGCCAACGAGCTGGACATACTTGTTGGATTTCTTATGAATTGGCACATCGGGAGTCGGACTTCAATGGATCCTTTGTAACAGGAGATTAGAGAAAATTATGTGAGGATCTTCTTAATTTATATTTTCAATATACATTACTGAGATGATTTCGTTTAGGAAAATGCGATGGGCAAGCAGGAGAGATGAGAAATGCATAAACAGTTTCTGTTCGGAAAACGTGTAAGGAACAGGGATCTTAAAGGAGTAGGGAGTGAGGAAGATGTAGGCTGTTATATCGGGATGGTGCAGTTGAAGCTTTTGTAACACGCAGTGATCTTTCGACGGGCAGGTAGAATGAATGAGCGTCCTTTCAACAACGGATTAAGTAAAATAAATTTGCAACATTGATACGCTTTTCGTGCTGTTCTACGAGAACCTTTTCCTATTATTGGTCATTATCTGAGAAGAAACATTTGCATCACGGTAGACGTGCGCGCAGTCCGAGGTCTTTGAGGCGGAACAGCGCATTGTCATAAATAATTATTTCAAGGAATAATTCTAATCCCCTCTTTCCCCCTGTCTCTCTACCCTCCCTCCCTCCCTCCTCACTTGCCTATCGTGTTGTTACGTAAGAGATGACGTGATGTTTTCTCATCCCGCTTTACGTTTCACTGTTTCCAAACTGCATCTCGTACTGCGTACGTCACAGACGTATTGACGATGGCGACCCGGTTGCTATGGTTACAAGAGAGAGAGGCCAGCTCAGCTGCATGTGTAGATTTTTAGGTTTCTGGTACCTTGTTGGCTCAGTGATGGTTGCTAAGCAACAAGCTGGACACGCGAGAGATTTAAGCAGCATTGGTGACACCACACGTCACTATTTTTAGGTGAGGAAATAGTATGTATAGCAGAAAATGGCGGTCATGATTTGTTCGGTTTAGTAACACGGAGATACATTATATGGATTACAGGGTGCACGTTAGAAGTTCAAACCGAACCTTGCTGTCGACTGGAGAGACCCTGGGTTCAAATCTCGGGCCGCAGACGGATGTTTCATGATGATGTTCTTTTGGGTTCTGTCGCCATGTGGACAGGTCGGTAGATGCCAAAAGTTTCGGAGAAGCATACTGTTTCCATCCACAGGGCCTGAAGATGGAGACAGTACGTTCTTCAAAACGCTGACATCTACTGAACGTTCCGAACTGTGAAAACCTCATATCATATGTCACAGGTGTTTAATGGTTGTCTCAATGTCTCCTGGCATATGTCAGGATTGTACCTTAAAGTAGGCCATGACCGCTTCCTTCCACATTATTTACAAATTGTTATTCATTGTATAATTCTGTGCTCTGAAATCCTATGAAATTGATTGTGTCATTAAGTAAACAAAAAAAAACAACTAAAATTGAATGTTCAGCTTTGTTTTTCATCACCAAGAGCACATGCCCCACACATGCTTATCACAGAAGGCTGGAATTGAAGTGGCGGAGATTAGGGTCAGCATTTGTTTGACCTATTACATGTACCTAGGAAATAAAGTTACCATCTACAGTGCTGTGAAAGTTGTGATATTCTATTTAGAATAGAAAAAAAATTAATCACTGTGTAGGCATGGATATTTACTTTATGATATTGGACCTAAAAGATATGCAACTGTTCTATTTTAAAAAAGACATCATATAAATATGGATCATGTAGTCTGTAGAGCAGGCGAGTAGGATGTGATGGATCTGATTGGTGGATCCTTCACATCTCACTTGCCACCTGCTGTCTGCTCTATATATGTTTCCTAGAACTCCCATTATACATTCTTCCTGAAGATGGCAACTGTAATATTTGCCACAATGTTGGAAAACTTTCAACATTCATTGCGATTCATCCCTGAAGTTGTGCATTGAACTCTAGCTGTGAAAACTTCAGATAAGAACTTTTAGTACAACCTCATTTCACTGAATTTCATCAAAACCTGTTGAATAATTCTGGAGATTAAACATGTGGACACATTACCCTCTGTGACTTATTATTTACACTTAACCTTTTTGCCTCATCTCTGAAACCCATGTGATTCAGGCTTCCTAAGTGATCTTTTCTCTTTGTATTCTATGAGTAAAATGTTTGAATTTCTCATCTCTCCATGGCAAAGAGTACAAATTATGAAGCTACTCATTATTTAGTTTTCTCCAGACTCCTGTTTCTTCATCTTGTAGATTTAAGTATTTTATCAGCAAGCTTTTCTTAAACATTTGATCTGTTTTATTCTCCAAGGGCTAGAGAAGAAGTTTTCCATGGGAAAATAATAGTTTTGTGTATTTTTGTAGGTACAAACATTTCTGAACTCTGACTTATTTTTCTTGGTGAATTATTATAGGTGAATGATGGCACCGGAGCGGCCGGGACCGGAGGACAAGCCTGGAGTGGCACTAGTCCAGAGTGGTGGTGCAGTCACCATACCAGTGATACCTGTTTTCTCGCTGCCCAACACTCTGATGCAGTTGAAGGTACTATCTGTGTTGCATCATTGTATGAGCGTTAGTTATCTTGCATACTCGTACACATAATGCTAATCTGGCTGCATGAGTAGTTATGAAATTTGTGGTTTTGAGGAGATGAGTGGAGGCATGTAGTACACGTGGAAGAGATGAGTTCATACATTTTAATTTTGAACACCTATACATTGATGGGAGGATAATATAACCTGGATGTCTAAAATTAGGATTTGAGTATGTGAACTAGATTTATTTGGTTCAGGTTCGGGTCAGTGGTGAGCACTTGTGAGCCAGCTAGTGAACCTTCAGGTTCTATAAAAGGCACGGAATGTTATAGCTAGTTACACGACTCTCTGCTTCTCAAGAAGGATTTTGCTGTATATAGTTGAGCAGAAGGCAAGAAATTCACAGACTACACAGGAAACAATGCATCTGAACATTTTGCCGAGAAATGTCATCATGCCGGATACATATGCAGTACAACCCCATAATTGCACACCCCTGTATTCTGCCACCCTGGCAGTTTATCCTTGAAAGCCTTGGAAAAGGAATTCCATGTGTAATTTCAGAGGGAATCCCCTTTAAATATCACTCTCAGTAGCCACCAACGTCTCTGACAAGATAAATGTATGTTAAGCATTATGATGTCCCTGCTTGAATGTCGATATTGGTGTATTTGTATAAGTAAGATACCTGATGACATCTTTTGAGAATACTTTTTCTTTGAATTTAAAGATTTAAAGACTTTCAGCATGTATTGTGGGCTGTACATTGCATTTATTAATCAGTGTGTAATACAAAATAAATGCTTTTTGAATCTCTACTACTCTCTCAACAGTCAGTTTCTGATAAACAGTTGAGTCACGAGAGAAGAAAGAAAACATTTTAATCTTATATTCATACATTTTAGTGGAATGTATACATTAGATTGCAATTTACTTATTTCTTTTGTTAATAAGAAGATAAGTAGGTAAGACTTAATGGGTAAGTCATATGTGTAAAAGATACACTTATGTATCTACATTATCTGCAATCTGTTGCTACTCTTGTGGATGATACTGATGGCAGCGCTCGTGCAGTTTATGTATGACATGATATAGTGCTTCATATCTTCTTGTCCCCATAGCAGCTTTGATTTTTAATGTTTTGTTTCATTTGTTTGTTAGGAAGGGGATGGTGCAAGCAATGTACCAACAGTAATGGAAGGAGAGAACCCAGAGAGGCTGCGTGTAGAGGATGATGACCTTACATCTTTAACGTGGCTACAGGACAAGAATCTGCTCAAAGGTGAGGCATTGCCTGGCTGAGTGTCCTAATTACATACAAAGCAAGTACTTCTGTTGATTGATGAGTGTAGTGTTTTATTACACAACACATGTGCAATCAGAGATGTCAGAGTACAGGCAGCTTTGTTATAATGTGTTTTTATTATGATATTTGGATATAACATAATAAAACTGCAATGTGAATAAAGTCATGCAACCTATTCCTGACACATGCTCTGTTTCTCAGAAAGTAAATTACATTGCAATCAAACCATGTCATATTAAGCGTTGGAAGTGTCCACCACATACACTCTTTTCCTCGAGTTTGATACAACCCAGTGAAATTTCCTTTTGTGTCACTTAATTGTTTCACCAGATATATTGTCAGTGTTTGGTGCAGGAGAATCAGGAATTATATCCCTAAACTCATTCTGGCAAGTTAAGTAAGAACGAGATACTGTGTAGTGCTTTACATGAAAACTTTTTGCACTTGTGAAGAAGACATCCTTGTACTTCGTCTGTTGAAAGACAACTGGCACATGTGTGTACACTCACATTCACGGTACAGTGGAAATGTTAGGATAGAAGTGTGTAAATGCATGCGTGTGTGTGTGTGTCTCTCTCTCTGTATGATTTTTTTTCACTGACTTTGTTTAACCTCCAAGCAGCTGCTTTTGTGATACATTCTGTAAATGTGTCCATACCAGTGGGTTAACGCTCAACTATTGTCTATTTCTGTTGTAGAGCTGTTTAACTTTGTTACTCCCGTTTGCCAAAGTCAGATTGAACATGTCGCCAGGTATGAATCTTCGAGCAGCTGTAGGTGAACACCAGTTATCACCAACAAGTGATTTTGTGGATGACAGTGCTAGTGAGCTAGCTGATTCAACGTGTTCCAGTGGGCATTCACCCAGCCCGGCCCCTCCTAGTGTTGCCACTTCCTCACCAAACAAGCAGAAACATCCACAACATATGCCATATGATCCATTGGTGAGCTGAATTCTTCATTTTCTACATGCAATTTTAAGGCTTTTGTTTCTTATTTAGAAAGTGAGTTTAAATTACTTGGACATGTACAAGTTGCAGTTACAAGCTTTCACTTTGTTGGCATTAATGTTGTAGACTTTAAGAAAAGGTAGCGTAATCTGGTCATGAAAACTAGCGATGGCTGGGGGTTCGTCGTGCTGACCGCATGTCATCCTATATCTGGTTGGATGATTGTTCACCTCTGCTTAAGCATGTGAACGTGAGGCCAGCAGCCAGCTAGTTGGCTTTGGCTCTCAGAGGGCTGTTACGCCACAGATTATTATTATTATTAGACTTTAAGAAGTGTGCTTTGTTATTTTCCTAGGTGCATGTCAACTCAAAGCCACCATACTCTTTCTCGTGCCTCATTTTCATGGCTATAGAGGACTCCCCTCAAAGAGCACTGCCAGTGAAGGAAATCTATGCATGGATACTAGAGCACTTTCCTTACTTCAAGAATGCTCCAACAGGGTGGAAGAACAGTGTACGCCATAATCTGTCCCTGAATAAATGCTTTAGGAAAGTAGAGAAGGCACCTGTAAGTTACATTTTGTTTTGATAGTTTGGGAAACTAAGGTGTTGAATGAATTAAACAAAGTAGGGAAATTGAAGGAAATTTAGTTTTATTTCAAGGAAGTAAAATTTTAATGACAGTATAAATAAAGGAGACAACAATTTATTATTAATTATAATAATTTCTTGGTCATTTGTATGTTTTCTTTAATTATTGTCTTAAAATGTACTATGCTAAAGCAGAAAATTAATAATTTTCATTCCCACTTAACTGTAGTGTTATTAACATGGGCAAAGTAGAATGTTATTTTTGGGTTTTTGCAAGTAAATTCTCATTTCTTCAGTCATGGTTTGGTTTAATTTCTTTATGTGACACAGGTTTCTGTTTGTAGAATTTAGGAAAAGGCTCACTGTGGATGGTGGACCCACTGTACCGCCCTAATTTAATGCAAGCACTTCAGAAGGCTCCTTTTCATCCTTATACCACCCTTGATAGAGTCTCCATGGTAACAAACAGGGTTCAGGTTAACAGGTAATTATCCATCTCAAGTATAGATTCTTGCAAAGTGCCAGTTGAAATTCAACAGACAATCTGAGTGACATCATCATACAGCTTAATATCTATGTATAGTTTGCACTTATACATTTCACCTTGTCATTATTGTTACCACAATTTGAACATAAAAATAACTGCACCGTTATGAATGGGAGACTGCAATATATAAAGTGTGTTTAACAACTGGTTTGCCATAAAACACCAGGTGGGTGTAAGGGTGATTTGGGAGGTAATTTAGAGTAAAAAAGTGTCAGTAGCAACATTGGCCCTATTTACAACTGTAGCAGAGCTGCAGACATTTAAAGATTTGCAAGCAACAAATATTTGTTTTGGTTGAACATGTTTGTACTTCTGATTCTTGCTTTCTACTTATATCAGTTTTCTATTGATTCTGACCCTACATGAGTACCAAATGTGGCATTGTGTTAAGATAAAATTAACCAATGGTTCATGCCTGCTGAATATGATAATGTTTATTTTATTTATGGATTCTGTGATTGTAATAGTGGAACTGCATTTGAAAAATATCAAAAAGGTTTTTTCTGAACCATTGAGTCCTGAACAGGTAAGTGTATATGATCTGCAGTACCAAAATACACATGCAAGAGGAACTCCTGCATTGAATTATGGATGCTACTACTTACAAGAACACCCCAGGATGATTCAGTGGGACATAAACTCCAGTTTAAAGTAGCAAGGCTGTGTTCTGAAAACCATGGCAAGCGTATGAAACAGTCATAAGATGATCTCATAAAATGTAGCAATAAATTTATCTGATTAATACTCCCATTTATTTTTCCCTGCATGCACGTTCAAGTCACCATAACTCCACTATGGCTGGAAATAGGACCAGTGTTGTATCAACATTGTATACTTGAAATTACCTTCTGAAAAACACTGGATAAATATTCTTCCAGTGATTTGCCATTGATGCAATCAGGTAATTTTCTGGATGAATGTAGTTTTTAGGTACTAAAATAGGGAAGGAAAACAGTGTCTTAGATTTGGGTATGTAATATTTTAAAATTCCTGAAATGTATACGGAAGTATGTTTTATTACATACCATTGAATGATGTACATAATAGCTGGAACAACATTTTGTTAATCTTTGTTTTAAAATAATGATTCTGTCATGTGTCAGTGTAGAGTTTTTACAGTGTCTACAAAGTTGCATTATGCACACTTTACATGAAAACAAATATAGTTTTATTTGATAATAGATGTGCATACATTTTTCAAGTGTGAAAATTGCAGATGAGTTACAGTGAATGTACATTAATCTGAGAGATTATGATTGCCCTTCATGTTATGCTTACAGATAGCACATGTTTCAGATACAATATGTGAAGTTTGTTTGATGAAGAAAATGTGTACCCTCTGCCATTTTTGACTGAAGCAGTGAGCTAGGCACATAAGCATTTATGTTGTCTGATTATTTACCAAATAATTTCAGTCTTGAAATACATATCCCTGTCTGTAAAACATTCTGAATTTTGGAGAAAGGAATTGTAGAACACCATGTATTTTTCAGTCCGTTGGGTGCAGTTGGTCATAGTGAGTTCGTGGTGATTAAATCCAGTAGTCGCCTTCCAAATCCTGACTTGTTCCCATATCTTAGTCGCCGCCTTGCTGCGTCAGGAGTGGAAGGGTTGAGAAGCAGGGATGTGGCAGCTGACAGTGATACCACCACAACAGATGATGCAGATTCGTTGGATGATGTAGATGCAGCTGCTGCGATGCTAGCTCTGAAACATGGTCCTCGCATGCTCACTCCAAAAAAGGGTATGTATAGGTTGTTGCAAAGAAGACTGTTCTTTGAGTAAATAATATCAACAGACAAAGTAACATAAACAAAAATTATGTTCAGGTGAAGATTTTAAAAATATTTATGAGCTGGTATGTGAACCCAGTCTGATATGTACTGTTCTCTTTTCGGAAACAAAATGCAGTAAATGCTTTCGTTCCACACTGATGCACTCTTGCAGTTGCATAGTGAAATAATCCAATATGTCTGTAATGTGTTATGGCAGTTCACATTTCGAATACGCTACTCTTTAGAAAACCCTGTAGAACCAGAAGATCATGGTGGCCAGTTTGAATCTCTGAACTGTGATATTGTTTGATGTGGAAACATTTTACACAACCCTGCAGTATGTGATGTGCCAACCAGTCATCCATCTTGACTGCTGCTTGTATTTTTCCCAATCAAACTCTGTTATGTGCTGTATGTACCCGTGGCCTTGAAAACCTCACCACTCATATCCGTATATATTAATAAACAAAATATCAGTGTTCTCTGCCAGGTCTTGTATTTCATGTCATCGTTATTGTCATTACGTCAATATGTAAAAAAAAAACCCTGAAAGTGAATGAAAAAGTGAAAATATTTTACAAATGAAACACTTACATAAACACTAGCTTATCATAATATATCTTTACCTTTCCAGTTATTAACTGTCTAACAAATTAAGATTATCTCTGCACTTATAATCAGTTTTGCAAGTGAACTTTAAGCTAAGGTTAATCATATGGCTAATAGCCCCTTTTAATAAGGGACTGTTAAGTTCATTTATTACAGGTTAAAAATGCGTAATTTTCTTTGCAGTTGATTGGGATGAACGACCCCAAGGAAATGATGGGGTTGGACAAGCATGTCTGCTTGACATAAGAAACCCACGCAAGAAGACTAGGGCTTCCAAAAACACTCAGGTATATGGCATTTCTGAAATCAAAATCATGAAAATGTAATTCTGATATATTAATGTCAGTGGAGGTGCTGTGCAAAGCTTATGATCTTCAACAAAATACAATGAAAGCAGTCAAGGAAGCTGGTCTCTGAGCTTAGATTTTCATCTGGAACTTTCAAAATAGAAACCAGTCTATAGGATCCAAAATATCAGTTTCATCTCATCAGTTCTTGACTATAAGCCTGACATAACACTGTACTTTACACATAACTTGGGATTAGTATGTTTGCTCTGAAATCTAGGACTCCTTCAGTAATGTCAAGCAGTCAAAAATTTATCCACTAATGCATCTCATATCATCTCATGGGCTGTGTTTGTAAGTTCAGTTCTGAAGTGATTGCCAATGAAGTAAAGAAAAATTGTTTTCAAATCTGGAATGAACTGTGTTAAACCATTAGCATATTTTAATGGCTGCAGAGCATTTCTTGATTAATATACTATGAAAAGTTGCTGGGTGAAAGTCAAAATTGTTTCATGCTCAGTCAACAGTGTAATGAATCTATACAGGTGTTTGCAGTTAATTGAAGGAATTGGTTTGAAACTTTAAATTATTTTTCTTTAGGTATTTGGAACATTTAAAATCATATAGTTGTGATGTATTCCAACTCTTGTTTTTGTGTTAGAAAATATGTTATGTGTTAGAATAATGTCCATGATGTCATAGGACACTGGGAGAAAGGAAAAAATGATACCAGTGATAACAACTTCTCCTAGTGAGGATCACACGTACAGTGCTGGTCCTACAATTGCAGCTGCACAAGGAATTGCCCATCCAGCATTACCATCGTCATCTCCAGAGGAGGCGTTTGAAGAAGGCTCAGAGTCAGATGACAGGTAATAAATAGCCTTGCACATTTTGGGAGCATAAAGGTGGCGACTGACTTGTAACAATTACTCGTAATGTAACATTCGCGGCGATCACGTTACATTACACCACAACTGGTGAGGCACATCGAATGCTCGTTTTGAACGCTCGGCTCGACTGTGCTCGTGTGTGCTCCATTCATTTCATTCAATATGTTGGACATGGAGGTTGTGTTATCTGCGTTCCATTTAATACGCTACTGTTATCTAAAGAACTCGTGAATGCTCGTTACGACGCCGCTTGACTGACTGACTGACTTGTAATGTAACACTCAAAGGGATTCACGAAAAAACCGACAACACGATGGAGCGCTTGCGAGCTTGAGCGGCTCGCATCGAGCGGCTCTGTTCGCTGTATTCACTTGTGTAATGCTCGATTTGTAACACGTTATATTACAGGCAAATGTTACAAGTCAGTCGCCACCTTTAGTCAACACATGAATGTGTGTTTGCACGTGCATGTGTGTGCATGCACACATGAGCGTGTGGATAAGCCTTCACTGATGTCAGGTGCTTACCGGCTGGTGTCAGTACAGCAGAAAAAGTGTTTGAAAAGCCTATTTGTAAAGATAGTAGATATTTGGGTCCTGTAACTTTTACTTTGTAGCTATAATTTAATTTGTCACTGTTGGTGTTGGTCTTCTGTGTTGTAACTCTGTGTGGGTAGATATTAATGTTCCAGATAAACATACTGTCTCCATCTTCAGGGTTGTAATTTCATTTGTTTGGAACATTGCAGCTTCCAGGCTATGTATCACTATAAGAGTATGGAGGATATGGAGGATACACATGCCAAGCAGATTTCTTCTCTGCCTCCATCTGATTCTGAAGAGCAGCGGAAGATTGCAGAAGGAGCAGATGCTCTGCTTAATCTAGCTGGGATTTCTACTCGTAAACGTACACAATGTGTAGCCCTACATCCACCAGGTAAGGTAAAAGAAATCTGTGTAATTATTATCAGTTGCTTGCAGGAAACATTGCTGTTTTCGTTGATGGATGTCCTTGTGCTGAACTGTAGTAATGTTGCTGCTTGACAAAAGGACCAAATATTTTAAATTTGGAACATTCAGTGTTGTGTATGAACATTTGTTTTAAAAAAACAAATGTTCATACACAACACCGAATGTTCCAAATTTAAAAACAGTATGAGTCATGCCATGGTTTTTTGTTTTCCCAAAACATGGCACATGAAATGTGGATTGGTGGGGGTTCGTTGGAAATGGCTGCCATAAGATGCTGCTGTTTTGGTTATAAGACATAAAAGCTATTAGGATTTGAGGTTCTTGTGGTGAGTATGAAGATGGCTTATGGTGAATATGAAGATCGCTATCTCCTGGGTTGATGTGCCAAAAAATCTGGTAGATTCTAACAGATCACATGGTGCAACAACTTAGAAAACAACCATCTTAATAGTATAGTGAATTCTTCTCAGGCTACCAGCTGTGTCAGGTGGTCTTTGTCCTTGTCCTTAGGGTACTTCAGTACCCTGAGGATGAGGAAGATGATGTTTCTTGAAACATTGGTGTTTTCATATTACACCACCTGATATGGCTGGTAGCCCAAGAAGAATTCATTATACTTTGTCATGGTGAAAGCTTCAAATCATGTATCTTAATAGTACTGTTGAACATCTGGACCCATCCTCTACACAAATTTTTATTTCTTTTGCTCGTGTATCAGACTGTACTTGACATTTCACTTATATGATACTTTTATGATAGTAGCTCCTATACCAAGGAAGACTTGACAGAGTATGTTTTGTTTTTGTATCAGTTCATGACATTTTTTGAAGTTTGTTGCTAGGTGTATGATTGAGTGAATTTATTAAGTAAGTCTTCTGTAAATTTCAGATGTTGAGACATGACTCCCTGGTCTCAATACCGTCACCTCCTATATTACATCAATTTGTTTACCATGCTTGACAAATTGTGTTTCTCTATAGAACATTTCACTTGCTATGCTAGCATACTTCACTTCACTTACATTCATATTAACTTTGTGATTTATTTTATACTTTTAATAAAAACAGTGATGTAACTCTATTTGCATTATAAATTACCTTAATGATAAATTTGAAAATTACTTATTCATTTTATACATTTATCATATGTCATTTTTCCTTACTATTAGCTGCTCTGTACTTATGCCTACATTTATTCAAATGTATGAGCTGGGTAGCTTGTCAATTCTTACCTTGAGCCAAGTTTTGCAGTATGATGTTGAGAGGTAAATGGTGTAAATTTGTCCATCTTAAGCAGGCAATAAAAGAAAAAAGTAAATTGGCAATTAAAGACATGAGCATTAAATCAGTTTCATTAATGGATTATTCATGACAGACTGAATGTAATTACAGTGTTAGTATAAATTCATATACGAGATGTTTTGTAAGCAAAATTCAGTGGCCATTTCTCACCCATGTTTCTCCTGATTCACTACTAGATGGCTCTAGCAGACAAATCAGGATTGAGTAGAAATTGTGCAGAGGCAGTGGGCTGGTCACTCACTACTCACAAATGCACACTTCAAAGACTAGGAAAACCTCTGAAAAGGAGGTGGCGTGGTTTGTAGAGCCAAGGAAGAAGAAGAAATTAATATGGCCTTTTGTTATTTAGTCCCTGGGAAACGAATGACTACAAGAGGGCGGAGGAAAACACCGTATCGGCCCCGCCTCTTGCGTTCGATCCGCCCTAACATCAAGAAGAAACCAGAAGTAATTCATCAGCAGAATCAGAAACCACAAACTTTGATAAACAATAACAGTAGCAGCAACAATAACAATATTGTTATGACACCAGGAAACAATGTGAAGCTGCTAAGAACATCGCCCCGATCTTCACTCTTTGGTAACACCAATGAATATGAATTTAACCACAATACAGCTGTAGAGAAGACTAAGAGGTAGGGCCAAACTGCAATAGTGTAGTAATTTTTATCAAACTTTAGTGTGGATTTTCTTTCCCCTGCCTATAGTTATTATTGTATTGTTCAGTGATAATTACACATAATTTATTTTCATGAAAATGTGAAATGTGGATGGTGTGGTTTGAACTTATCCTTGAATTATTCAAATCTGCCAATAATTCCTGCTAAAATGTGCTGTTTGTGGTTAAGAATTAACCTGTTGTTTTTGATTAATGAGAAAAATTGGTGTCCATATGAGGCAATATTGAATTAGTCTTATGGCCATTTTCATGTAATCTAGCCTTTGTGTTTTAAATTTTGATGGAGACCATGAGAATGATAATCTCTGAACTTTTAAGCAGTTGCCATGTGGATCCCACAGCTTTGGCAAAGAAATGCAAATAAATATTGGCAACACCAGAAAATTCTACCATAGCAAATTTATATTGGCTTGCGAGAGTCCATTTAAATCCCAGCACGTGTTACGCTTTTAGGTGTAATGGGGTTTTACCTGGCAATCATTGAGTTCTTCGCTCATAAACAGGATTGGTAAATAATGCCATATTAATTTTGTGTTTCTAAGAGACTTATCTAGGTACATACGAACTCTAATTTGTGATTCTTCATGTATTCTGCTTTTCCTTTTTTGCATAAATCTTGTTATTATATGGAAATGGACATATACCCATGTGTTACAGTTGTTATTTTATCCAATTGGATTGCCAATACAGTGAAACTCCTTTTTTAGATAAATGAAGAGACAGCCTGAAGCTTTTACAGTAACTATAAGTTACAAAATCTTTTTGGGCAATGAACCACTTCAGTCTGGAGCAGAGTGCAGTGTTTTTGGTGACCATGTAGTTCCATTATTCCCACTGGGAAGTGTGAATTGATGCAGCTGGTCACCTGATAAGATTTATCACCTATCAAAATCCAGTATTACCATTATTCTCTATTTGAATATAATTTGTATTTCTGCCATCATTTGAAAGGACAAAACATGATGGTATCCTGCAACCAAGTGTTGTAGTGTAGCAATTATTATTCCATCTTTTGATAGATCTATGGTCATAATATTGGCCCAAAAATGTGCTGCACTGACAGGTTTTGTGCTTTTCTTCAGTTCTGCAAGGTAAATGCAATGATAGTATGTTATTTCAGGCCACAGTTTCTTCTTCCTAAATCATATTTTGTAATCGTCTTGTCATTTCTAAGTTGATGCTGTATAGCCTAAGCAGATGCCATATCTTCATTAAATTAACTATGAACCAGAAAAAGTTATGATGGTTCTGTCAGTGCAGTTCTTATGGGAATGGAAAATGTTGGTCACAAACAGCTTAAGAAACTGGCAATCTTTTGTCAAGCTGTGATGTTTTTGATAGTATCCAAGGATAAGTTCAGAAATATGATGTGATAGTGAGATTCTGTTGTACATCCAAGATTATGTACAGGTGTTGGCTGTACCTTGTAGGTGCAGATCAACTTATTTATCTGCTGTCATGTGGATCCCTTTGAAATGGACTATATCACCAGTTCCCGTATGCAAAGATTGGGTTTCGAAAAACGTCTTCATTCCCCCAGATATTGGTATTGCAAGATGGTAAGTAAGATGTGCCTGACAGGAAAGGTGGAAATGTTTCTAATTTAAGTTTTGATCCTGAAACATGTGTTATGCCCATCGTTATTTAGCTGTAAATACGCAAATTAACATATCTTGGAGTTATTTTGAATATTTACAGATTTTAAATGTGTCTTTAGAGCAACTAAAGCAATAAGGTTGTATTGTTGGAGTTCAACAGTTGATAGTTGAACGTTGAAAGAAAGTGAATGTGAAATCTTAAATATGTGAACCCAGAGAAGTTTTGTTGACAGATGGGAGCATCGGGGTCACATATAGAATTTTACAAATGACTTAAATGTTGAGAGTATACAATTTTTACTCATTAAGTCGGTGCAGTTTTTACTGTTGAGCCATCAGGTGTCCAGTGTGCTACAAACCACTTGCCTTCTTCAGGTTAGTTGCCCATTTTATACTCTTTGTGAACTTACTGACTTGCATTGCCTTTCAGAGAATTAAAAGTTAGATTTATTATGCACTTCTGATGTGTGTAATGGGGCAAAGCATTGGTTTGGTTCCTTAAGATTATCTAAACTGTCAAGTTTATCATAGTCTCTTCTGATCTATGTAAATTATGTAGTAGTATCTTAGCCTTCTCCAGCCCAAGAATTTTATGCATATGTAATTCTGTTCAGTGTGAAGACATGGCCAGTCTCGATCACAATTCTGAGCAATTAGGTTTCATCATTATCACGCTGACTGTAACTTGATAGCATGCCATGGAAAAGAAGTTAGTAAGAATACTGTAATCACAGATATTTCTTCTACCTGAAAAACACCAAAGTAAAATTATTTGCTGATCCCCTGCCCCCATAAACATTAGATTTTCTTGTTGATAAGTGACACAAGATCAGTTTGCAAAAGACTGCTTTTCCTTGTCAAAACATTTGGTCTCAAAAATGGCTAATGGAATCCCGAATCAAAACTAAAAGTGGCATGTTTGAAAAGGATATGTGTTAGAAATAGAGCACCTCATGTTCAGTACAAAGGGAAATATGACAGAAAGTAAAGTGTAAAACCTCTTGATGAAAGACTCCCGGGTTACAGGCCGTGCCAGGTGGCTGAATGGTGAATAAATCATATCTTCTGCCAATGTTTCGGGAACAAAATCTGCTCTTATCCTCAGGGCTGCTTGGTAACCAGTCTGATCCCTTGTTAGGTTGACATGGCATGTCGTAGGATGCAATGGTGGGATTTGTAACACTATGGAATTAGCTGCTATTCACCATTTTCATCATCAAATTAGTATTCCTCTTAATAACTGGACTAAAAATATGAAATATTTGGTTATAAACCCCTGTGAAAGCTATAAATATCAATGATGTTGTTGAGTACTTACAGGTCTTTAAAATGCTACTACTAGAAGTGCAATTGATACATGAATTTATCATTAATGGTTTACTTTTCAAAATACGTGAAGTTACGATTCAGGCTTATGTGCCAATTTATGGTGAAGTATTCAAAAGGATCATCCCATTGAAAATATAAGCCTCTTTGGAAAATGTTGATACTTATGTGGAATTCATCCTTCCTCTTGTGTGTTCAAAGAATGAAGAAAAATCTTTTAAATCATATAAATAGGGAAATGTATTGTTAAAATACATTATATTTGTAGAATGGGTATTGTTTTTGTGTGATACAATTCTAAGTTTTAGGAGTATTGAAGTGCATAGATAATGAAATTTGAAAAAACCGTAAAATGTGTCCAAGTAACAAATGATTACCCATTTATTAACATTATACATTCAGTTAATGTTGCATGATGAAGAGATTAACGTGATTTCATACTACTTTGCATATATTTGGCACTTTCCCAAAGATTTTTTATTTTATTTTACACTGAGCTGTCTGCTGTGCAATTTCATTATGGTGGAGTTGTATCGTTGACACCTCTGAACTACTTAAATATATCTCTGCTATTTTATGTAATATTTTTTATTTTCAGAGTTTAATGCTGTATTTTGATTCTTGTACTAAAAATATACAAATTATGATGTATTAGCCATTTAAAATTTATCTTTGACAAACTGAAGGATACCATGGAATTTTTCTAAATTATTTAAATTGAGGGTTTATACTTCTCTTGCTTTATGCTTGCACTAGTAAGACTATTCTAGAAGTGAAAATCTAAACTTAGTTGGATCAAATTGTAATGCTGAAAAGTGGGATTCAAAATATATGCAAGGGAATTAATATGTTCTTAAAACATTACGACGTCAGAGGGGTTGATGTTCATCTATTTGCTGTTTAAGTTCATTGTGGCAAAGTTGTGTCCTTGACACTTCTGAACTGCTTCCATAAATCTCTGCTATTGTATGTCATTGTTCATTTTAGGATTTTATTGTATTATTCTGATTCTCATATTAAAAATGTGCAAATGGTGGCTTATTTGCCATTTAAAATTGAGCTTTGGATAAATAGAAAGATTTTAGGTCCGTCAGTTTAATGCGTTCTGTTTGCAGTTAACATAAATGTGTAAATGGGACTTTGAGTGTGGTGACAGTAGAGGGCCACAATACCATGTTGAGTGATGATCATAAGTGACTCTGTTAGTGTGCAGAACAATCTGTCACAGAACTTTTCTGCTGTCTTTAAGAATGAGTTCCCTGTTCTTGCCAGATGAAATTAAATTCTTCGTCTAGTGACTGTAGGTTGCACGAGTGAGATGCTTTTCTTATACTCTTCTATACATATTGTAGATAATAATGAAGCCTGTAAAATAGTGATATATACATGAAAGAATATGTACAGTATATATTTCACACATGTATATTTTTTCATTACCTCTCCAGTGATAAGCAAGCTCTTCCTAATACACTCAGCAACAATAGTGTTTGTGTGGGTGAGTGAGTGTATGTGTGTGTGTACGTGTGTGAGAGAAAGAATAGGTGAGAAGTGTTTTTGTTCGCAAACATGAACACCCAGTAATTACATGTGAGAGTCAGCACAAGGAACAGAATGAGCAGCAGGAGTGTCACACTGTTTTGTAAGCAAACAAATTATGGTATAATTTGATAATTTCTTTATGATACAGAAATAGCTGTTTACTTATGTGAATCTGGAAATTGTGTAATATGGTGTTTACTAACTCATGGAACAGAATCATTGAAAAACAGATAGTTATTCATCTAGTCAGGATTAATTTCTGTATTCATAAGGACCTGCCGGTGGACACTGTCCTGAGCTAAATGAATCTATTTTACTTTTCCCCATACCCACTTTATTTAATATTATACCATCTATGCCTACATCTCCCAAGTGGTTTTCTTCCTTTAGGCTTTCTGGCTAAAATATTGAATGCATTTCCCATCTCTTCTTTCTGTGTTATGTGCTCTCCTATCTGACATTTCTTGATTTGATCACCCTAGTAATAGTTGCTGATGAGTACAAATTATGAAGCTTCTCCTCACCACAAGAATGATAGAATCTGTATTACTTCATTAAAGTCATTGCATTCATGATGATGGCTAATATATATATTTGAGAAATGTTTTATATAAGCAGTGTAATTACAGATCCATAAATACACTTGCCCACTTACCATTGGTAAATAACAAAGCCCAGTGGCAAATAAATTTATAGGCTGTTGAAAAATTCATGGGCTAGATGATTCTGTTAAGTGGCTGTAAATAGTATTTCTGGAGTTTGGATGTCAGAACATTTTGGCATATAGTTTGGCTTGGCAGCAAATGAAAGGATGATACAAGCGTGTATACAGTTCTATAAATTGTGATGTTACAATTGAAGACCTCTTTCAATGTGCAAAATTGTGTTGTATACTGTCCTTTGTTTCCACACTCAGAAACTATATTAAGGTATCAGTTTATAAGGTATGATCTTTATATTAGTTACTGAAGGTGTCTGTGAAAGGTCAGTAAGACGGACTGGGGCATATCACATATCACAAAGCAGCCATCTTTGTGACAACTATTGTAGAAATACAGCTAATAGTTTCAGAAATAATTTTTAGTTTTGGGGCCATCTGCAAACTGCAGAAAGATAATTTAATTTCTCTTTAGTAAGAGGGCGTGTGTATTAATATTAACTGAAATCTGCTTCATGTATAAAATACAAATTTTGCATTTTGCTGTCATCTATAAAGAAGTCTTAAACCACGTGGTTAGTACAAATATGTCATAATGATTGAATATTGCTTATCCTATAAACAAATGAATAAAGTATTGTTTTTGTAACTACTTACTATTTTTGCAGAACATTGTATAACCTGAGGTGAGTTCTGATTCTTGAATATACTGTGACACTGGCTGCAGAACTGTTCATGCTAATTTTTGTGCTAACTCCTCGTCAGAAAGTAAAATTCAGCAATCAAATGAAGATAATTGTATGTACAAGTTTATTGTATTGGAGAGAGTAATTTAAAATGGATGTAATTGCTTTGTGCCATAGATACTTTCTTCTTATGGTCATTCTTTGTCTAATGGAAAAGCATCACGGTGACATTATTTTAAATATGTGATACAATTTTTGGGTAAGTTCCCCACTTGTCATTATCGCCTTTAGTTACTTCAATCCCAAGTACCTGTGCTGCAGAAATTCTTGTTCCAGAATCCATGATTAAATTTGGTCTCTGTCTGTCCTTGAGTTCAGTGTTCACTTATGTGCTTTTGGGGAAATTTCCAGAAATTTATATGTAGAAAATGTGAATCAGAATTCATTTACACTGTTTACTGCCTTTGATTTCATGTCATTGTGCAGATAAATTCTTGTTAGGATGACACCAAGGGTAGCATTGTAGTATGCATATCTCTCTTTTCAATAAAAATGTGACTGTGCTGCATGGTAATACAAAATGTCTGCCAGTAGATGGCTCTGCCGACAATAGTGTAATACCTTACTCTTCTGTTAGGTAACTCTTCCAAGTATAAATATGATGTATGAAGTTATGAGAGCAGATAGTGCACATTAATTATGATTTCAATAGAAGAAAGGTGACAAAAACAGTGAATATCTGTGATAATACTGAGAACAAAACTGTGAGTCTGAAATATGGCAGGTAGTAAATATTAATGAAACTCAGAACACCAATGAACTACTCAGCAGTGGGAATAAGTTATTGAATAGGCTGGAGAAAATATGTTCAGTGAAAATAAGATTTTATTGTGGTATGTTATCATTTGAAGCTGAAAAGCTGTTCATAATTACTCTTCATATTCCCAATATATTGTTCCTGGGTCTTTGAAATTGGGTGGAGGGAAGGAAGAAGAATAGAAGATAAAATGAAGTAGAGGTTAGGAAAGGGAAGCATGGGAGTCCTCTGCTAGTGGCATTGGCAAGTGAACTGAATAGGGGCAGATCTGCCAGTTTTATATTATATTTAGAGCCTTAGGCCAGCTTTCCTCTGATTTATCCATTTACCAGAATTATACTTCTTTCTTCTCTGTGTAACTTGCTTTTTCATTAACCTTGAAATGTGCCTAACATATATCAAGTGAAAAATCAAACAGGCTGTCCATTACTCTTCAGTTGTTATCCCATTTTATTTGCAACATTCATAGTAAACAAGATTTGATGAATGAAATGTGTGTGGATACAAAAGGAATTATGATCTGAAATATTTTCATATGTTTGAAAACATGGATTAATACATTTCGTTTTGAGAGAAAAGAGAGAAAATGCACTCCAAGCTTCCTGGGTGCCAAGCATTGGGAAATGAGATATGATCCAGGAATTTTAAAATAAATTAAATTACATACTCTTGCTTTCTCCTGCAATAGTATCATGATCTAAGATGAAATGCAGTATGGCAGTTTATGACATAATATAAATTTAAGGTGTGAGGTAACAAAACGCAGTATCTGACCCTGAACAGTGACCACCAGATGAATAGTACCTTTTACATTCTGCATTATACCTAGACTCCACATTAACAGATAACCACAAGATGCCAAGTGCTTAATGTATAAATTTATTTCAGGCTAAGAGAAAAGAATATCAAGTTTCCATGATCATGAATAGAGTATGCCATGGCACAAGAGTTGTGTGATGCTAGAAATGTGAGCATAATTCTAAAGGAAACAGCAATAGCAGATTGTGTTACCTTAATGTCATTGTAACTTCAATACTCTAATGTAGTTTTTCACTGGTTGTAACAAGTCCATGGTTACAGTTGTGTAGATGTAAAAAAATTATATAACAATAACACATTTATTTGAGAAAGGATAAATACTGAACTCTGTGCCAAATTGTTGATAACTTGTTAGTTTAACAAAAAAGTCATAATATGCACTTTGTTAAATCCTGTACCTAGATTTTTATGTGACTTTATCATAAAGCTGTTAAGGTATTTTTACATACAACCAAAGAATATATCTGCCTACCTCCTTGATAATAATGTGTATGATCTAATTTCACAAGTCTGGGTTGGAAAATAATACCTTATTGTTTGAATTGTTGATATATCTCTTACAATGAAGGATTTACATTTTATGTTTCTTGCTAAGGACTGCCATTTACTAGTATAGATAACTAAGCATTTTATTTTCAGTAATCACAAAGGTGTATGAATTGTTCCTTGAAGGAGCAGCTCTGCAGATGGTTTGTTTTAGAATATCAAAAGGAAAAACAAGAAGAAGAAAATGTTTAAATTTGTACTATTGTGGTTCTGATTTTCAGTTTAGTGTTTAACAGATTTTTGCCTTATATAGAATGTCAGCTAACTAATGAGTGTACTTGCATTCACCTTGTGGCCAAGAATCAAAGTTGTTACTGAGAGACTGTGGCAGTTCAGAGCCTGTTAAAATTGGTATGTTACTAGTGTTTTGTTTTTCTTTAAATGCTGAATTGTAACAACATATTTTAATGAATATATTGTTTTGCCATGTGAAATAAGCCATGCGTTTTGTTGTGTGTTACATGTAAGAAGTTTATAACATGCTATGGTTTGTTGTTAAAATGATGGTGATTGAACATTCCATGCAATATTAATTACTTCCAATGCCTTATATTTTGTTGATATCTTAAATTGAAGTATTAGGATATTTAATAACTTCATTGTATTGGATATAAGCAAAGGTTAAGTTACCTCTTTGCTTAAACATTGCTCCGTATCTGACTGGACATGAATCAAATGTGATTGTTCAGCCTGTATCGAATCACTTTACTGACCGAACTGTCCTGGTTGTTTTGGGTACACCAGCGGTCTTAGACAGTAAAGTTTTTACAAACACACAGACTTCAGAAGCATGGTTGCAATAGGTGAATGTTCAAATTTGGAATTGTATTTCACTATTAAGTTCTATTTTTTCTTTGTAGGTTATAAGGACAGTTTTCTTTTAATAATTACATTCATTAAGATATGTTCTTGTTGCAGAACTGGAATTAAATAAATATTATATTTACCTGACTATAAGATGAGATTATTTTACTCTTTGTTTCCATATAAGAATAGATGATCATCTTACATTAACAAATGAAGAAAAATGCATAAGAAAACATTTATTATGTTTTGTGGGAAATAGACATGTCAGTTGGTACTCAGATTCTTTCATTCTCAGATGTTTGAATTAATGGCATTGAGAAAATACATTATTTATTTGTCCAAAGGGTTATGATGGAAGAAAGACAAGGAATGGAAGGGTGCAGGATTCACCAGAAAGGTACATTGTGTACATAAAATGAATAATTTAAGGAGATGAAAAACAAGTTGTTGCAGTTATGTTGGGGAATTGATGTAAAAATGTTCCGTGGACTACTTTACCCTCTTTATGGGTTTTTTCCCCCAATACTAACAGAGTTAACCTATGGCCCTGGACTTACATGACATCTGTTATATCTGAGGTTATCTTATCAGGTAGATATAATATTTTTGTTCTTTCCATACAACAGATAAGTAAGCACTACCTAAAAAAATAAAACCAGGTAAAGTGGAAACTATGTTATCTTCATATTTAAATTCTGAGCCATTTTAGTGAAATGTAAGTGACAAAACTACCAAGTCGCCCATGAGATTACTGACATTTTTAATCGAGACCTTATTTCCTTTTTTATTGTGGTTATAGTGTTTTACTACATAGCAAATTTTATAAATTTTTTGTGAAAATTGTCACACAAAGAGATATTCTTTACTACAGAAATTATTATATATAGTCACCATTAACATTTATGACATATTGCATCTTATATTTATATATATTCTTGTCTTGCTTCATGACCACAGATAGTTTATTGAAAGTTACTGATATTCAGAACTTAAGTATGTACACATATGACTGTATTCAAAGTGAAGTGTGTATATAGACTCCAAACCATTTATTTTAATTAGCTTGGGCAGGTTTTTGGCTGTATCATTTATGTTCTCAATGTACATAATATTTAAATTTGGCTGTGAGTTTTAAGTCTTCTTACATGAAACCAGAACTTTTTAATCACCATATTTTTGGAAGGTTGTGACTTTCTTAAATTATGAAGTGAGAATTTTACTTTGTATATCCTATTTTATCTTTAGATAATTGTTAAGTTTTCTTCCACAGATTCAGATTTTGTTAAAAGTGTGGGATGACTTCATAGAGCTGGCTTTAAGAATATGAAAAAGTGATTTTTTTTAGTTCTTTATGTTAAGTGAATTATTTAAAAATAAATATGTGAAAGTATAAAAAATTAAATCATCACGGATATAATTTGCTGGTCTCTAACCCCATCAAAATGTTGCATATCACTTTTGGGTGAACTACAGCAGGGAATGGTAATGTAGGATTTGAAAATTTTATGGTGGTGTGAAAGAAGAAGAAATTATTAGGACACATAAATGTGATTACAGTGGATAATTTAAGAAAGATGAACAAATGAAACAGAAAAGCAGGACATGCAAGAGCAACCAGAAATGTAAAATAAAACCTATGAAACAAAAGAAGAAATGATAATTTAAATATTTGTTTGTTTTATATCCTTTATTTTTCTATCCAGTATTTCTTCTTGGTCTCTTTCATGTATCTGCTTGATTACATATTTTGTTTTGATTAAATTTATTAACTCTTGCAGATTAAATTTCATTCATTCCTTCAGCAAGTTTGGCTCCTGTTTTATGAGTGAGAAATTGACTATTCTGTTAAAAAAAATTGGTTTATTTTGTAGAATTTGTGTGCCCCATTTAGTGGTCTTTTGTATATGCATAACATTTTGAAACTGTTTTATTTAGTTAGTTTCTGTGTCGTTTTTTTAATTTTGGATGTACTGCATTATCACTATATTTCCAGATTTGTATTTCTCAAGTACTTATTATCTGTTTCATCACTTGTAACAGTCTTACTTCATTATTTACCATAACAGCCATTATTGTCTATTTTATGAGACTACCATAGCACCTGCAATGTTACTGCAGGAAAATTCAACAAGTACAGTCAAACCTCGGTTCATGAATGCCTCGGATCACGAACAATTCAGTTTACGAACAAATTTTCCGAACACAAAGCGTCTCGGATGACGTACTGTGTCTCAAGTTACAAACATGCAATCCGTCAACATCGTGGAGCAATAAGCTGGGAGTATCGGCGTCTGCAGTATTCGTAGAAGAATGATCCAGCATGGGGCCAAAGAAAGACACTGATAGCAGCAAAGTGAAAAGAAAAAATACCAATATCATGATAGATGTTAAGAAAGAAATCATAGCCAAACATGAAAATGGTGTTCGTGTCTCTGATCTTGCTACTTCTTTAATCCGTGAAATTTGTGCAAAATGGGGTGAGGTGCAAAGTTTCGTGGAACGATATCACCCCGATAAAGCAGTAGCAAGCCACAGCATAAACATTTTCAATGATAATGCCATGTGTCACTTTAGTAACATTTTAAAACGTAGACAAAAACAAATCACACTGGACAACTTTTTAGTGAGACAGAGGCCCAGTGAGTCTGATGCAGAGTCGAGTGGTGCCAAGAGATAGAAAAAAGAAAAAGAATCCCCTTCCAAACAATAACATTTCACTTCCTCACCACCTTCCACTTACGCCGTCAACTCTCCTCCATACAGGTACGGTAAAACTAAATTAAGTTTTCGTCTATATTTGATCTGCTTAGTGTTGTGTTTATTTTTGTTGTGATAGATTTAATGGTGTCCATTGATTTTGTGTTAAGAACTTGTGCACAAAGTACTGTTGTAAAATTTTAAATAAGCAATCATCTGGGGTCCAGGAACGGATTAATCCATTTTACATTAATTCCTATGGGGAAAATAGTTTCGGTTTACGAACGACCTTCAGGAACGAATTAAGTTCGTGAACCGAGGTTTGACTGTACTTACAAATGCTTCACACCATTCTCCTTTATTGCTTGGTTACTGAGCTACAGAAACCTTCTATGCCATGATTGAGACCCAGGACAGACTTTTGTGGTTGTTTCCTTTCTTCTTATAATCTTCCCACAGAAACAACTGTGATCTTGGCACTGTTTGTCTGTTGTGTTTAATTTATGAGCTGCAGAAACCATTTTCATTGGGACTCAAACTCAGTTAATTTTTTTAGGTTGTGGTTATTGTTCATGTAATTTTTTTATTTTATTTTATTTATTTATTTACAAGTTTCAGAAATCCAATAGTGGAAATGCTGAAACAAATAACTTTGGTCTAGGCACAATTCTTCTATAATTCATAGTTTCTGAGCTACAGAAATGCATGTTCACTGGGACTCAAACCCAAGAAAGACATTTGGGGTTGGTTGTGGCCTTTGTTCCTGTAATCTCAAGATTTAAGATTTAAATTGCAGTGAAAACATGAATTATGGCTATATGGATTTTGACAGATTGTAATCTTGTAGGTGCCTTTTGTCATTCAGAGGAATACATCTCCAAAAATGTTAGAAATACCTACAGAAGTACATGATGCTACAATCCAGACGACCACATTCCACATTTAATTTTCTTTCCTTGGCTGTTGTGTTTTGTCCTTTTAGGTGTTCTTCACACTCTAGTGTGCATGAAGAACATGCATCCATATCTATCTTCCATTTTTCCTGTGTACACCCAGGATAATTGTCGCACAACAATGTGGGTCAGGGTCCTATTACTAAAACATCATTGCACAACAGTGGGAGCCAAGATTCTTGCACATTGCATCTTTTTGCGCAACAGTATAGTCGGCACAGTAGCTTTTGGCCGGTGGAATTTTCAAGGGGAAGGCTAGGAGCGAGTCTCTTGTGCGATAGTATAATGCTGACTGCACCGTGGAGCTTATCGGACTGAATGCCCAAACAATAGAAATACACTGACTTTGCCACCTCAGGTACACTGAGTAGGCCTGTCCACCAGCTCCGCTAGCTTCTCCACCGGCCAAAAACTACTGAACTATAGAAATTTGGATTGCATTTGTGCAGAAATAATCTGAGGTCATTGGGACCCATTGTTGTTTAACAGCGATCTCAGTTCACATTAGTGCAACAGTGATGTACAGGATGTGGCATGACTGACAATGATAGGTGCTTATTGCCTCTGAAACGTTAAAAAATTGTTACAGACTACATGGTGTGAAATCCCAGTAGACATCTTCATTGTTTATCCTTAAGTTTGAAAATTTTGGGATACCAATATTGAAGTATTTTTTGTTAAATCAGTTTCTTGTAAGAGCCAGTTTGGGTAAACAGTCTGTACAGAATAACGCTCTATGAATGCATCCCATTAAAAACCCTCTAAAGTCTGTATTTTGAGAGACAGGTAACTGGCAGTGAATCTATTGTAAAAAAATTATGTTGCTTTTGATGCCTCTTTTATTTTGATATGTGTCAATTCAAATTTTAACATTTTGCTTTTTATCTGTGTAAAAATACTATTTTTTACTGTAAAAATAATTTATTTGCATTGTAGGACTTGTAAAAGGCATGAAAGACTGAATTTTTATGAGTGTTGCTCCTTGTCTTCCATTTGTTATAAGTTTATTTTTCACTGGTTGATCTATCCATTAATTTTAGGGTTAAGGGAAAAGTTTTAGTATTTTAGCACTCTGTATGAAGTTCTGGTACACAAAAATTGTCATATGAGCTCTTATAATTGGGCTGAAATATGAATGCTTCTGTATTGAACAGTATTTTATTTCTTAAATAAAGTAATTAGTTATTTTCATATGAACTTAAATGTGGAAATAAAATATTATTTAATCTTGAAGGTACTCATATTTATGTTTGCTGACTTGTTATAGAGGTAGAAAAATGATTATAGCAGAGAATTGTAGTATTGAAACTTGTCTCTTCCCCAAATATTTCAGACTCTGGAACACCCAAAACCTAAGACATTCATTTACATTTAGAGAATTACTGACTGAGATGATGGAATGGTTCTTCAACAGTCAGTGTTACTCATTGTTTTATTGTCTTACAGACTCTAGTAATTTTCTACAAAGGCTGTAATAGATCAGTCAGTAATTTCTTTTCATTTTTAGAGTTATTATGGGATTATATGGATGAAATATATTTTCTTCCTTGAGCTGTAACTTCTCACTTCTGTTTGATAGTGTAGGTAAAGGACTCCATGAACTTTGAACCCTGCCAAACGTCCGTTAGCTCGGAGCATCTGCTCATATGTGCATGTGTTCAATTATTTCCCTATGTAAAGGAATTTGTGCTGACAGCCAGTCCAACTTGTCCTGAAGTGCATTGGTGAGTCATTAAAAGAAAATGACCAAACGGCCTTGAAGTACTGAAAGAATGAAACATTCAGTTGGATTTAAAGTTTGTCTTGGAATTAGAGATGTCTATGTTATTGATGGTTGGTTTGCAGTCAACTCAGCTGCTATGGTTGTATGCTGTTATCTGCTCACCGAAGAATCAACATGTATTTAAAGAACTGATATTTAAAGTAATCTGAATATGATAGTGGCATTACCTGAAGATCAGATGTAATGGTAATGCCATCATGACTGAGTCTTCTGCATATAGGTTTTGTGCTAATGAAAGTGGCTAAATTATAATAAATATTTTTGAAAAATTTATTCATATTTCATGTTGCATTGCATATTTGCATTTTATTGGAAAGTGTATGTTAGAGAGTATTTCGTCCTCATTGTTTCTATAAGCAGTGATATTTTTAATGACTTATACCACGTAAAATTTTGGACTTCAAAAAGTGTATAAACATGTCTTGTCCTTGGAAGGAAAAAAATAGTGCCCAAGATGATGATGGAGTTATATATGAATATATGAAGTTATTGTATGCAGTAATGACATAAAAGCTCCATCCTTAAAAAGTTTGTGATTCTTAATTTAGTTTATACTAAGCTGGAAACAGCCTTCATAAACAAGTCACACTGACATGTTTCAGTTACCCTATGTTGAAAAACATCATTTACCATATGTGTTGAACAATTTCCTCTGTTAGATTGTGCTGTATTAAGGCATTTTACCATAGCAGGTGAGTTAGGACAGGAAGTGAACAGTGAAGGGTTAAAAGAAACCAAATAGTGTTGATGTCAGTAACTTTTGTTCTGGAAGGTAAAGAAAAAGAGTTGCATTCAGTCTTTTTCTGTATTATTTATAATTTGGAATAGAATTGTAGGGATACTTCACTGACTTCAGAACACATGGCTTAGTCTTCAGTTCTAATTATTTTTAAAGGAAAGCTCTGAAGAAAAGTAAGAAATCCACAAAGACCTCTCTCCATATTTGTGGTTTACTTCTTTGTGGTCAGGCTTTCAATAATACAGTATCATGAATTTTCTTTAAAACTTTCCTGTGGTGCATTTTTGAAAACTAGCAGCTTCTTAGCGTCTAACCCATTTGCAATATGTCGTAGTCTGCACTCTGCTGCTGTACAAGCAACATCTTAAGAAGTTTACTAATTATGTTTTCTGTGTAATCATGCTTCCCTAAAGCAACATAAGTGATGTTAGAAATGTGATTGGAAGTGTGAAAGCTGTGAAGATGAGAATAATACATGATTTATTAAAAGGGTGCATATATTTATCAACAAACTATGATCTTGTTAATGATCATCTCAGGAACGTATCCCTCGCGAATACGGAGGTATTCCTGATACTTCATTCACACACTTCCAAATTGTA